TTTGGAATCAATTTTAAAGATTCAGCATGCATATTAATTTGCTTTCTTCACATCAAAGCAATACTTGAAATAAACAAAAATCCATGACAATTAGTAAATATGCAGTTATTTTAAAATGTGCCATCTTGTTGCGTAGCAACTATTGATCCTATTATGTGCTTTTTACATACTCTAAAATAATTAAGCACAGGCACAAATTACTGTCTACTTTTTTTAAATCTTAAAAGCATTTATGAAGTTTATTTTAATATGTGTATTATATATTTGTAAGGGGAACATTTTGTTCCTACGCAAAGGCATAGTGACCCAAGAAAGTGATGACAATGTCATATTAGCGATTTGCCTTCCTCATGAGAGGACCTTCAGGGAACTTTTTATTCACAGTCTTAATAGCTAACACAGCCAAGACATAATTATCATTCCTTGACTTTACTGGTCTGGATATTGATTTACTGCTAGTTAAATGATAACACTGATTAACAAGAAGTCCTGTCCTCTCAACAATATCAAATGTCCATTTATTTATACTATAGAAAATTATATATACCAAAATACATCTTCAATATAGTCAACTTATTTTTAAAAAGAACTTAGAGAATATTACATAGGACTGTTTTACTTAAACTTTTATTCACATCAAATTAACAGTATGAAACAAAAACATAAATGCTCTTACATGGTCAGCTGTTGGCACTAACTTGTTCTGCGCTCTGGGACAGCACCTTAGAGAGGGTACAGTGAGCAGCAGGACTAGAGTGGATTACGCAAGGCAAAATGTATCTGAAAACCTTTAGCGGGGTGTGAATGTGGAGATGGGGGGCTTCCACAAGCAAAGGCAGTAGAGTTCACTCCATCGGTCTAGGAAAAAGAACTCAGGAGTTTGATAAAAAGGAAGGATCGTGGAATCTCCAACCACATTAATTTCATAAGAATACTTGCTAAGTCAAAAGACGGGAGGACATTTGCAATATCTCTTGATACACACTGACAAATTAACTGCTCTCTAAAAGGTTGCTTTAATTTCCAGTTCCTTTAAAGAATTAAGTATCAGAGACTACTCACTAGACATTCACCACAGTGCCAAAATTATTCTGTCAATTAGATGGTAAAAAATAATCTCATTGTTGGGACCAGCAGTTAGCGTAATGGCTATGTCGCTGGACTCCCACGTAGTCGACTGCTGTTCGAGCCTCGGACCTGGTGGCTTAAACTCACGACGGGTGCGTGTGTGTGCGTGCCCAAGATCCCAAGAGGAGAATGGAGGAGAAGGGACTGTAGTGTGGCCATCCCCCCTGGGGGGTGATTTCTCACTTTCTGTCTCTCTGTCTCTGTCTGTCTGGCGAGCGCACGCACCCTATAGCAAAAACCTGTCCAAGAAATAAAAAATTAAAAAAATAATAATAATCTCATTGTTTTAATTTGTATATGTTGGATTACTAGATAGCATGATAATCTTTGTGAAATTTTTCCTTTAGAGAGAGATTTTTGCTATAGACCACATGCGCTCTCCAGAGAGACAGACAGAGAGACACAGACAGACAGACAGACAGACAGAAAGTGAGAAATCACCCCCCAGGAGGGATGGCCATGTAGCAATTTCTTCTCCATTATCCTCTTGGGATTTTGGGCATGAATGCACATGTGCCCAGCATGAGTTTCAAGCCGTTGGGCCTGGGACTCCAATTATGGTTAGCCATGTGGGAGTACAACAACATAACCATTATGCTATCTGCTGGTCCCGATCTTTCTGAATTTTAAACACAGTTTGATAAAGATAGGGAAAGTAAGAGCAGATCAGCCAACTGACACCTGACATTAATAAAACTTAGAAGAAATTAATGAAATGTAGACCTTAGAGAAGGAAAAGAAAAGGCCTATGGTTAAAAAAAAAAAATCATACAATTATAGTAACTTCAGTCCAAGTTATATTTTTGCCCATATGGAGCTGTTGCTATAGTGATAACTTTTATTACAGTCTAATCATTCACCTGAAGGACAAGGTAAAGGATATGATTTACAGAGGGCTAATCGTGGCTAGGTATGGTCATCTATTTGAAGATTGAAAGTGACAAATTTAAAATAAACCTGAGCTAGCAACAATACCTACTGGGTTTCAATCTGCTGGATGACAAAATGGGGGATTGCTGTAGAGATACTGGTTTGAAGGTGGCCACTGCTTATTGCTTGAGGTTACAAGTTATAGGGTCCAGTCTCCAAGAAAAATCTGGTGATAATTGATCGAATTGTTAACACTTCAGTCAAACCATCTGAATTTCAATAGCCAGCCCCAGTTCTAGAGGGAAATTTAAGACACAATAAGAAAACAAACCTAGGCAGAAGGCCAGTGCCAGGCACAGATGTTAGCTGGGGAAGAGGAGTTGAGAAGGCTTTGGCTCAGTGTATAGGACAGGGCCCAGGGATCAGGAATATTTTTGGAGTTTGTGGTAGGGAGACAATAGCTGTCAACTCAGTAACTAGAGCAGTACATGGCCTAAGAAGATAGACACTAACAATTTAAAAAACATTCCTTATATTATTTTAAACTACAAAAAGAATTCATTATTGAAACTGTGAAAAATATGGAAAAGTACAAAGACCAAAATCAATGCAATTTTTTTCACACTTTAAGAATATTTCATTGTGCGGCCGGCAGGTGGTGTGGTGGCTAAAGGCGCTGGATTCCCACACGGCCAACCACAGTTCGAGTCCTGGACCTGGCGGCTTGCTTTCTCTCTCTCTCCCTCTGTCCCTTTGTCCCTCTCTGGTCAAATTGAAATAAATGAATTAATAAATAAAGTTAAAAATAAAATAATTCTTAAAAAAAAGAATATTTCATTGTAAATAATAGCAAGCTAAATAAATACTTATTCCCTTTTTTTGTTAGGGTAAATACACCAAAATTTCATAACTGAATAGTTTTAAGTCATTTTTCATTCTTGTACATTATCTTCTTATAAAAGAGAATCAAAGAAGTTATAAGAATAAGTTATTATTTTCCTACTTTTAAGAAAATGGTCAAATGTTGAGGGGACCAGCAGTTAGCATAATGGCTATGTCACTGGACTCCCATGTAGTCGACCGCGGCTCGAGTCCAGGACCCGGTGGCTTAAAACCCACGCTGGGCACGTGTGTGTGCATGCCAAAGATCCCGAGAGGAGAATGGAGGAGAAGGGATTGCGGCGTGGCCATCTCCCCTGGGGGGAACTTAGAAGAAATTAATGAAATGTAGACCTTAGAGAAGGAAAAGAAAAGGCCTATGGTTAAAAAAAAAAAAATCATACAATTATAGTAACTTCAGTCCAAGTTATATTTTTGCCCATATGGAGCTGTTGCTATAGTGATAACTTTTATTACAGTCTAATCATTCACCTGAAGGACAAGGTAAAGGATATGATTTACAGAGGGCTAATCGTGGCTAGGTATGGTCATCTATTTGAAGATTGAAAGTGACAAATTTAAAATAAACCTGAGCTAGCAACAATACCTACTGGGTTTCAATCTGCTGGATGACAAAATGGGGGATTGCTGTAGAGATACTGGTTTGAAGGTGGCCACTGCTTATTGCTTGAGGTTACAAGTTATAGGGTCCAGTCTCCAAGAAAAATCTGGTGATAATTGATCGAATTGTTAACACTTCAGTCAAACCATCTGAATTTCAATAGCCAGCCCCAGTTCTAGAGGGAAATTTAAGACACAATAAGAAAACAAACCTAGGCAGAAGGCCAGTGCCAGGCACAGATGTTAGCTGGGGAAGAGGAGTTGAGAAGGCTTTGGCTCAGTGTATAGGACAGGGCCCAGGGATCAGGAATATTTTTGGAGTTTGTGGTAGGGAGACAATAGCTGTCAACTCAGTAACTAGAGCAGTACATGGCCTAAGAAGATAGACACTAACAATTTAAAAAACATTCCTTATATTATTTTAAACTACAAAAAGAATTCATTATTGAAACTGTGAAAAATATGGAAAAGTACAAAGACCAAAATCAATGCAATTTTTTTCACACTTTAAGAATATTTCATTGTGCGGCCGGCAGGTGGTGTGGTGGCTAAAGGCGCTGGATTCCCACACGGCCAACCACAGTTCGAGTCCTGGACCTGGCGGCTTGCTTTCTCTCTCTCTCCCTCTGTCCCTTTGTCCCTCTCTGGTCAAATTGAAATAAATGAATTAATAAATAAAGTTAAAAATAAAATAATTCTTAAAAAAAAGAATATTTCATTGTAAATAATAGCAAGCTAAATAAATACTTATTCCCTTTTTTTGTTAGGGTAAATACACCAAAATTTCATAACTGAATAGTTTTAAGTCATTTTTCATTCTTGTACATTATCTTCTTATAAAAGAGAATCAAAGAAGTTATAAGAATAAGTTATTATTTTCCTACTTTTAAGAAAATGGTCAAATGTTGAGGGGACCAGCAGTTAGCATAATGGCTATGTCACTGGACTCCCATGTAGTCGACCGCGGCTCGAGTCCAGGACCCGGTGGCTTAAAACCCACGCTGGGCACGTGTGTGTGCATGCCAAAGATCCCGAGAGGAGAATGGAGGAGAAGGGATTGCGGCGTGGCCATCTCCCCTGGGGGGTGATTTCTCGCTTTCTTTCTCTCTGTCTCTCTCTTTCTGGCGAGCACACTCGACCTAGAACAAAAACCTCTCCAAAAAAAAAAAGAAAAAGAAAATGATCAAATGTACATTCTGACACTTGATGGTGAAAAGAAGTAAATATTTAAATGTAAAAATTATGCTTTTGCATGAGACCCAAAGGCTATCTTGATCATACGAGATTTCAAAACCTGGTTTTCCTCTTTTATTTCCCATTATGTTGTCTAAAACTTTTGGAAAAGACATACATCATAAGCATGTTTGATCTAGGAGGTTCCAGAAGGGATCAAAAGTATACACAGAAGCAAAGAAATCTATTTGAAATAGTCTTCTAGCAAAAGGACAGAATTTTTAAGAAGCAAATAAGACACACGCTGATGACAGCCACGCTGCCATTACCTTCTCCCTCCAGTTATCATCACTCAGCAGCTTCTGTCTAAGGGTTTCCTGCAGCTGCTCGATGCTTTTCTGATGTGAAACCAGCATCAGTTCCCTGAAAACCATAAACCCAACAAATGAGTCAAGGCTCACCCCTAATACTCTTCCTACATTGCAGTTCCTGGCTCAGGAAATATCATTTCACAACTTAAGTCTATTTATTATTCTCTTTAGACATATATATACACACACACGCATATATATATATGTATACATACATATATATATATATATATATATATATATATATATATATACACACACACACAATAATAAGCTATCATTTTTTGCATAAAATAGTAACAACACATATGGAGTCACAAATATAATAAAATGTTATAAGTGATTCAAAAAGTTTATTTCTAAATTCTAACACCAGACAGTATTTTATTTCTTCAAAAAATAAATAAATAAAAGAGGGATCAGCAGGTGGTATGGTGGTTAAGGAGCTGGACACTCCCACATGGGA